AAAATGATATATTCGAGTTGCAAGGGCTTTGTTCGTCAAGAGCGGCGACAGACATTCTCTACCGCATGTTTTCAATATAAAGTCTCAAGTCAGTTCGGATGTGGCTGTGTAAATATATATCTTGCAAAACCAAACGGGTAGCGGGTAGTTGCCAAGAAAACATATCCAGGCCAGGGGCGGATCCAGGAACCCAACCCAGGATAAAGGGGGGTTTTCATACTATATGTCCCCATTCAAATGCATTGATCGTCAAAAAAAAGGGGGGTTCCAACACCCGTAACAACCCCCCCCCCCCCCTCTGGATCCGCCACTGCAGGCCCTCCCTTGATCGATTTCTCCTTTTCGCCATCATACGCAGCGGAAAATATCGGGTTTCCGTTAAAAAAGGTAAAAATAAATCGTCATTTTTAAAAATGAAAGAAAACAGTTGCTACCTTTTAAAGTTTTAAAGAAATCCAACACTACAAAACTTTATGCATTATTCAATTATCATGTTAACGTTGAAATAGCAAAATTCTGTAAGAGTATATTCTGATGTAAATTAAACAATATATATATCAGCAATTACTGATTTGCCATCCATTTTTTTTTTACTAAATACTGTCCATGATATTAAGTACAATGTATGCTCAGAAGTGCACTTTGTAAAAATCATATAAAATTATGTCATTCCTTTACATGTCTTATATGAATTGTATTTGACACATCATATGCATCATAATTGGTTTGTGTATGTGATTTGTTTGTATTCACACAACCCGAGTTAATTGTAGTCTTTGAGGAGCAAAATTTTCAAGTTTCAAGTTATTTTAATCACAACGCATATATAGTACCTTTTATTGGAAACAATCTTACATATCTCATAAGACCGTACGTATTCGTACAATTTATTAAAGTTGAAGACATGGAGAAGCGAAAATTTCACAAACACACAACGCAGATTATGATTACAACTGAAAATTGTCGTTTTTAGATGCGTAATTGCAATAGAAATAAATAGGGGGATAAATTACAAAATTAGAAAAAAACTAAAATTCTGAGATCTCGGTCCTTATTTAGTTTCCGTAAACAGGTAAATAATTATTAAGAACTGTTCATATTCAGGAAACCTATACTTACGCGTGACGTCAAAAGAAATAACAACCAAAACTATCTTCCAAATACAAAATAGAAAACAGCGGAGCTTAAAACGCGAATTTATTCCCTGGTGAAATATATTAGTAGGCCGAAGAAACGTAATTTCTGGTTCCTCGTAAATTGTTTAAACCTGCTAATCGCCAAATCTGCTAGTATCCACGCAGTGAGAGAGCAGAAGCACTTACAAGAACCAACATGAGCCTTGCATGGTGACAATTGCACGGTTATAACCAGAAGAATATAATACAAAATTAGAAAAACAATGCATGTGCATGTATTCGGCTATTATAATATAAGATAATTGGTTCATACTTACCATTCTGTTAAAGGTACATGTTTGTTTGGTCTTAAAGTACGTTCTTCTTTCCTTTCAAATCCGGAGAAGATATCACACTGAACGTAATAAACATCCAGAAAAACAATATGTCATTTCCTTTTCCTTTTTTTTTTAATTTGAACAGGAAATAGAAAACAAACTACGTTCCAAACTGCCCAATGGTCCAACTTGATGAGATTTTAAAGTGATGACTATAGTTTGCATCGTCAATTAAGACGACAACTAGAAATATCAACTAAGGCACCGACCTTTTTTTACGGAGAGCGACATGGGTTTTTTTTCTCGGGACAAACATTTTTTCGACTTAAAAAACAACAATATAGTTTTCAACAACAAAAAGGAACACGATTTTTCAACTATTTTTACACTAAAGTCTTATAACTCTGAAACACTTCTTTTTGAAGAAATCTAAATTCAAATAAATTATAACAAAAATTACAAAAGATGAATTGTCGGTGCCTACTTAGGTTTTCCCTGTTTCTTGAACATAAGTGCATGTTGGTACTGGCAGATTCAGGATTTTGAAAAGAAATAGCGTCCTTTGTTTGTTGAAGTAACTAGAGCTGTCCAAATAGCGGGACGAGTACCCCGTAGGTGTACTTTAGCTGCTGATGTGAAATTCAGTATTCAGACAATGACCTTTTGAAAATTTTGGCTTCAGTCATTCACATTATATAATCATTGTCTTTGTGTTAGGTTGACACATGGTTACTGATAGGTCAATCTGATAGAATTATGCTGAGTCGGGAACAAAGTCTGAGGTTTGTAGTATAAATTCCAAAAAATAAATGTAAAACTAAGGTCAGTATGGTGCTTTTGCATACAAAGTTTGATCAATCGAAGTGCTACAATACCAAAGTTATGCGCCCAACACAAATCAGACAATGTTTTACTGTCATAGGGATTATAGGTGGTCAAATTCATAGTCACCTGACTGATATATATGACACATCCCCATCCCATGATGCATCAGCATACCATATTTGACCAACTAAGTTCTACGGTACAAAAGTTATGGGCAGGACACAAATCAGTCAAGGTTTTGCTATTAAAGGGGTCAAACGTTTAAGTCAAGTTCAAGGTGACCTGACTTAAGTATATGACACACCCAAGCCATACCAAGTTTTACGGTACAAGAGTTATGAGCCAGACACTAACTCAGTGGACAAGGTTTTACTATCATAGGGGTCAAAGTCAAGTTATGAGCCGGACACGAACTGGACAAGGTTTTACCCTCATAGCGTCCAAAGTCATGGTAAGAATAACCTGACTTTGACATATGACAGTCCGCCAGAGACAATGATGTATCTGCATACCAAGTTTGATCAACCTAAGTTCAATAGTTCATAAGTTATGCGCCAGACACAAAGCGGGACGGACGGACAGACGAAAATTTGTATATTTGAATCAAACAATGTACAAAGCTTTATAGTCTAAGATCTTTATAATAAACGGTATATTATCATAGGAACTTGGGGACAGGACAATTTTTTTAGTCCTCTCCCTTTTTCCCCAAAATTCTATGTTTTTGTTACCCTTAATTTCAATTATTATCGCCTTCTTTTTGGTGGTATATTAACATACATATACTAGAAATATCTGTTTTTTCCATTTACTATCAATTTCCAGTTTACTATTCAGAGCGGTCACTGATAATACATGTTTTATAACAATTATTGTATTATGATGTTTGTGTACCGTGCATGACAAGGGCCCATGATTGGTAAAATAAAATAGTATTAGTGTTTTATGTCTATATATATATACTTGTAGGGGGCCCAGCAAGTTCTAAAAGGCCGTCATACGTCAGAGTAATTCGGAACATGGCTGATAAACAAAGTAGAAGTTGTAGAAAGTTAAAAGGGAAATAGAAAAGGTCACTAAAGGAATAATAAATATCCAACTCGGAACAAAATTTAAAGTACGCTGATGTGATACTAAGTTCAAAGGGACATTACTCCGGAAAACTGGATCAGAACATTCTACCCTGTAAACATTAGTAAATAAATGACCATATATACACAATTAACAATTTATGAGTAGTTGCAATGACAAGGTACCGGTAGTTTCTAAACAATCTTCAGATGTATATCATTCTCGAATTACTAGATCACAAAATCTACAAAGTTTTAAGTTGAATAGCTTGATATTCAAGCATAGTTTTCTCAAATATGATCTTAAAGGTGTACTTTCCACTTAGTCTTTACTTTTATTTGTGCAATTAGGTTGCTGTCTCAGACATATAACCAACATCCTCTATATTTTTAAGCATAATCATATCTAGGTCAAGGCGACCCAAATGTTACTGAAATGCAGTTATTTCAGATGAAAATAGAGGCGTCATATCATTCTTATTATTTCTGACAACGTCTTTTGAAGACAAAACAGAACTGCAGTCAACTGAATAAAATTAAAACCATAGTGACTTAAATTGTTATAGCTTTGAAATGACTTGCATCTTGGATTTCCAAACATTCGATCTTTAACATATTTAATGAAGTTTATTCCAGAGAGGTGTATGGTAAACAAAAATATATATCACACTTTTGTATGATATCATTATTTGTGTATTGTTTCCAAGAGGACTGTCTGTCCTGTAGCCAGTGCAAAAATTGAAACGACTAAAAGTTACTAGTATACTCATGTTATTTTTTAAATTAACGTAAGTTGTGGGAAAAACTCGCGAATATTAGTTGGATCACAGCAAATATACCGATGTCCCTGAAACACAATAAAACAAGTATATCTACATGAAACAATTTACTTTCTTTGATGATTGGTATGTTGATACATAAATGACCTTTCAATGTCATATGTCTTTTGTGCTAACAATAATTTTCTGTATAATAAACAGTTTCTGAATTTTAATTGAACTTCACCAGGTGCACTGGAATTCTGATTGACCTTCACCAGGTGCACTCTTAATTTTAATTGACCTTCACTAGGTGCACTCGAATGCTAATCATTGACCTTCACCAGGTGCACTCGAATTCTGATTGAGCTTCACCAGGAGCATTCAAATTCTAATCATTGACCTTCACCAGGTGCACTAGAATTCTGATTGACCTCAACCAGATGCACTCAAAGTAAAATGTTTGAGAAGCGAAATATATATAACATTCGAGAGCAGTAAATGTGATAACAGAAGGATGAACAGCTTCTAAAGCCAATTTTGTCAAGGGACTTTTCTCACTAAATGAAGAACAATTAAATAACTTAGCTTAAAAATTTTGGCGCTGGCTGTCAGACCTTATCAAAAGCGGATTTAAGGGGAGGGGCTTATGGAGCTACATATATGATTAATTCATAACCTTTTCACAAGTCTTAATTTTAATGTTGCCCACCTCCCCTTCTCAAAATCCTGGATCCATATATGCCATTTACCTGTGTCTTTATTAGCACACAAGTTGGCTTAGATAATTATTGCCCGCTTATATTCTGACACTGTATAACAATGCAATTTCCATTCTAACAACAAGAACAAAAATAATAATTTGATATATATATCTAATAAAAACAAATGATGTTTCAGTTCTGAAGCTTTAATTTAAAATAAATATTATAGAATAACAAAAATATATAAATACAGGATTTAACTCTTCGTTTTGTACTGCATATATTTTTTTTAATTTTCATTTCATAATGAAAATATATGAGGTAGATATTAAAAATTTGAAATTAAACAAACCACTAACACAGACTTACACCCAGCATTTGGTTTTCAATGATAAGTGTAACCTAAGACCATACTGAAAGACTCATTGAACCAGGTTTAAAGGTGAAGATAGATTTTGGTTATTCAAGATTGTAAAAACAATATAGATTTCTTTTAAATCCAAAACATTATTGCAATAAAAATCCCAAATTACAGCTTTTATTTTTTCTTGATAACTGTCATTTTTGAGTAAACTAAAATGTACAAGTATAATTAAAACCTTGCATTAATATTAGATGAACGAGGCTTTGTATACAATCTATGAACATTTTACATAACCTTTTTCGATGATTCAGTAATCAGTACTAAAAGTTGTGCTAAAATATATTTATTATTCAATGAAAAACATATTTATAATGAAGGACGATTCTTTACAGATATCTACCATTTAATTTTTATTTTTCAAAATATCAACTACATGTACAATGTGTGGCTATTATTTCTGTAAATGGTGCATTTTCAGATTTTTTTTCTATATTTTTCATAACTACTAGTACAATTTTTTTGGGGGGTTAACGGATTAATAATTGTGCAAATATGCTTTATGAGTATAGGTTAAAAACAAAGCTTTTCTCATGACATCACTCAAAAGTATAAAGAGGTATTGCACGTCATTAAAAATTTCCTTGTTTTAAAGCTTTCTCATGTCTCTCTTGTCTCTGAACACATTCATTCATTGTACTGGCAAGAAAGTCTCTCTCATTAGCAAATGCTATAGCTTCATCCCTTTTTCTGCTTCGATAACCACGTAAAACAGCAGTGTGTGGATTATCCTTAGCCTCTGGATTAGTTGTCTTATATTTAAATTCCATTCTTGTAATAACAGGTATAAGTAGTCTTCCATTGTCTACAGGAACAAGGTCATTTCCAGAGCGACGATCAACGAAATCTGGAAACTTCTTACGGACTTCTACTACATCCTGTAATGACTGTTCTCTGGCAACTTCTAAATTGGTTATGATACGGTTAGGATACTGAATGCCTAAAAGATACAAAAGCAACAAACAAAATTAACTTTTTCAACCATGCTTTATTTTCTTTTTCAGAGCTTTTAAACGAAATGATTTTTGACTCATAAACCTGGTGCTCTTTAATTGTGTTGTTATTTTGTAGTGCATTTCTTTTAGACAATACATTCAAATTGAAAAGATCTCAGCTGTTCTATCTGAAAAAGATTTTACAGTGTAGTGTACTTCTTTTGGGACAAATTATGTCAAAATTATAGAAATGTCTACCAGCTCCAACTCAAAATATGGACAAGTCTATGCTAGGGGGTCTATAATTCAGTTTGACAAGCTTCAGACATACTTTTTTTTGAACTTTTTTAACAGGACCAAATCACTAATTTTCCTTAAAATTCATCACCCAAATTTTTTTAACATGTAATTTAATCTCCCAACTTAATATTTTATGCATAATAAAATATAAAGAAATAAATTTGGAAGGTGTATGAAAAAAATTTGCAAGTTTTACACTGTCCGCCCTAGGGTCTTTATTTTTGTAAACAACGGAAAACAAAGGTGGATAACTGTGGCCTCAGACCAACAAGATGTCTTTCATGATATGTGATACATCTGGTCTGGCCTGTGATTGCTGCTGTCAGTGTAAAAGCATAAAGTTGACAGCCATGATAACTTTATAAAAATTAACAACCATCTTAAAGAAGAGATATTCTATGTGATGATGCCATTTTTCTTTCTGTTGCCATCATGAAATTTGATTTGAAAAAATGAATTCTTATACTATCCAATTAGTTCTGTTTCCATATACACTGGAAGGTTACCTGTGTTTCATATCATATTTTTTGGTAGTTTGCTGTCTAACTGTAGATGATATTGAATAACTTGTTATCATATTCTGTTGATTCATTAATATTCTAGGGATACCAATTTTCGTGGATTTTGTGGATAAACGTGACCCTCAAATTTAAACGTTCAACAAGCTTGTTTGCAAATTTTGGCAATCCCACAAAATGAAATATCCACAAACATACATTTTATCTGCTTTCCACATAAATTGTTATCCACAAATAAATCCAAAGTAACTGATTTACTGCCAAAAAAAGATTACTGATGATTTATTTTTTGTGCCTGTGTGTCCCAATTTCAGAGGATTGAAGAAAAGTTGTTTTTCAGTAGTTTTTATAAAATCTGCATACTTGTAAGCCTATAGGAAATGTGTACTTTGTTGAAAACTTCAATTCATAGTCCACCTATATCCATGAAATTTATGAAAATGAGTACTCTGCAAATAATAAAGAAGTCAATAGTACTAAACTACACCAACATACCAAGTTCTACTTTACATCTCTTCATGATGGATGGCGGACATTTCCATGGACGATGTATAAATTCGTTTGGTACACTGGCTATTTCCGGACACCACTGACGTACATATGTTCCATCTGGGTCACATGTCATGGCAGCATCTATAGGGTGCATGACAAAATTCCACTGATCAAGGCCGCTCATGCCACCATTCTGCCACATCATAGCATTAATAGCTACATCTGCATCTAGAAGTGTGTCCTGAAATAAAATAAAATGGATATAATAAAATATTAGAAACTGATACTAAAACACGAGACACATTTTTTTTAAAGAAAAAAAGAAAGATAGAGAGACAAAATAGGAGAGAACTGAAAGAAAAAAGAAAGAGGATGAAAAACAAAAAAAACGAAATTTTTTTATCAGATACTGATTTTGATACATGAGACACATTTATTTTGAATGAAAAATAAATAGAAGAAAAGTAAAAAAGGAAAGAGAATTGAAAGAAAAAAGAAAGAAAGGGAAAGAAAAAACGAACAAACAGAAAAAAAGTAGAAGAAAGAAAGAAAGATAAAAAGAAAAACTGTTTACTACAATACAGTGTGACATGAACCGTTTACATAAATATCAATTTAACATGATAAAACATATTGAACAGACAGCTAAATAGGCTAATGAATAAATGATTATAAATTACCATTCATACAGATATGTTGCAGATGTAATTAATTACAATAAATTCTCTTTGTAAATATTTACATTTTCTAACATGCAATAATTATACATTAAGCTGAGTTAGCTGACCTATATATGTATATATATATATCATGATTTTTTTTCTTAATCAGATCACCTCATTAATTAGAGAGCTTAGAGGTCCAGGATTAGTAGATGGATGACATGGGGTGCATGATCATGAAAATCTCCTTATATCCTATTTAATACTATAAATTCATATCCTGCATGTTATAAACTTTACATCCAAAAATGTGAATTAATGCAAAATTCAACTCAGCCTGTGTTAACTGTTAAGCTGTTCTTCAAATTGTGTCAGGCGCGTAGCTGCCTTTACGCAAAAAATCATTTGCTTGCACATTTTTTTCACAAACAAAATAATTCTGAAATTGAATTACGAATGAGTAGGAAGACAGGTCAAACGGGCTAACTATCCAGCTGCCACTCCAAGTCAGTAATGGAAGCGAGCCTTGTATTTCTCCTTTCTTGACTATTTTATTGAGGAACTCACAGGATGTTTACTGGATAACTCTGATCGTTTTCAAGGCCAGAACCTTATACCTGCAGGTTTGGAATCTTTGACAGCAGAGTGTATAGACAAACTATACGAAACATTTAGACACGACTTGACAGACAATCAAGAAACCTTCAACTCTGAGGTAAAGAGATGGCAGAGACGCTGGTCGTGTCCAGATGTTATAGAGTAGCCCAAATCTCTGATGTCGTCTCTAGCAGTGACTAAAAAGGAACTATATCCTTCAATAGTTTGCAATCGTGTCAATCCTAGTTACAATGCCAGTAACTACATCAACTACTGAACGGTCATTTAGTGCATTACGGCGACTGAAAACTTATTTCCGTTCAACCATGGTATAGGACAGACTATCTTCGTTGGCGCTCATACATGTTCACAGAGAAATGAATATCGACACCGAGAGAGTTCTGCGATCATTTGCCTTGGCAAAAAATAGATATATGGACTTTGGATATTAACTATAATTTAAGTATTACATGCAGTATTAACATTTAATAATACAGACTCAATACAATAACCTTGAAAACATCTTAGATTTATATCCCTCACTTATAAGTCAAGACTTAAAAGTCGCCGTTTGATTTCGTATTCCCATTGTCCGTTCGTCCAAAAGACTATTAATTCACCTTGGGTATCTGTGTCCCAAGTGACCTTCTACCGTTGTGGTAGAAACCCCTCCTTTGATTCGAAAATGACCTTAGTGAGAAACGCTACAGTCGGGTGTCTTGCAAGAAGCAGGAGTTGCTTACGCTTCCGGAGCACTGGAGGTCGCCACATTTTTTTTTCGGGGTTCGTGTTTTTTATTTGTAATTATTTATTTAGTTTTCAATATTGAATGTTTTTGTTTGTTCTTTTGTGTCTTATCTGTTCCCGGGTTGGTCATGTGTCCATTGATTGCCCTTCTATTGATAAATGCTACGGTTGACTTGTCGACTGATCTTCCCGTTTTATAAAACTTATTTTATATTTGAAAACAACCATGTTAATAAGGAGTAATGTGAATTTCATAAGCATGGCATACCTGGAAAATGACCGAAAAATAATAATTTTCTGCATAAAAAGGTCCCAAAAATTTTTTCGCCTCGCTCCGCTCGGCGATACAATACTTATGCTTGAACTTTATTTTAGGCCAGCTACGCCCCTGTGTGTACAATTTTGCAATTTAAATGATTTCATAGAAACGTATCCAACTTTCTCATAGAAAACCTTAGATTTGTGTATTTTCTATGTTACATTTCTGCTTTAAAAATTCAACACTTCTCTTCGTCAAAATTTACCTAATGGGAAGTTTTCACATTTAATGTTAATCGTTAAATTAGCAAAAATTAACCCCTCCGAAAAATTTCCTGTCTTACAGTATTCTGGCTTTTAAAGGGAAAGTCCGCGATTTTTTACTTATCATCTAAATATGTTCATCTTAACATAAAAAACACATTCACAAAGTTTTAAATTTATATTCTTTCTAATAACGGAGAAAATCAAGTATTTGTAACTTTTTTGGTTGACCTACGTCACTGGGTTGTGACGTTTTAACCCGATTTGTTGAATCATGGGAAAAAATAAAATCTGTTAAAGTCTTAATTGCTTATCAGAATTTCACGTAATTAAAAGCGCACAGATGACCGTTGGTCGTAGTTAATAACCACAATATAAGAATGAAAGAAAATGAACATGTGTGTACCGTTTTGTAATGATTGAATAAAACTTCCTATGTGAAGTTATCTAAATATAAATATTTTCGAATAAATTTCATAAATTATTGAGATTTGTTCATAAAATATCTATAGAACATTTTTACTGATATTGAACTGAAAATAGTTAAGTTTTATTTACCGTTATAACTTTGATTACCATTTCAATGCAAAATATTTGTGAACAGAGTGTGTATATTATTTTGGTAAGTCATTGTTTATTTCTCGATTTGAGGAGCATTCGTTTGAACTTTACCTTGCAGCAATTTAGCCTCAGGCGTACACAGGTGTGAATTCAAGCGAACACAGGTGTGAATATTGTCATTTTGAATGAATTAACAGAAAGAGTATAGCGTGTTTAATATACCCAGATGAAATACCCGTTGACAATAGAGAAACAATAAATAAATTGTATAAATTAATTGAAAATTAACATTCAACTTTTTAATTCCGGAAGTGTTACAATATTAAAATGGAACAATTTTCGGTTACGTTCTATGCAATTAGCATAAAGTTAAGATATGAAGTTAAAAGAATAGTACTGTTAATCTTAAAAATTAAATGTTACATTTCCCAATTAATAATCATTGCACATCAGTTTAATTTACTTTACCGGAATTCTTTAACTTGTATTTAAATCTGGCGATGTTTAAATGCTAACAATCGTAAAACTATCGCAATTTTAAAGTTTTTAATTGAAAAAATACAACAGTACAACATGCATGATTTTTTTAATTTCTTATTAACATTTCATTCTTACATAATTAATTCATTTGACAATCCCTTAGACAAATTATTTGTGAAAAGAATACCAATTATCGTTTATTTCATTAATGAATATACATACATTATAAATCTAAGCTATAATACATTAATTTGTTTGAGGATTTTTTTTAGGATAGCCGTCATTAATCCAAATTAGTAATACAGTTGTTGTAATTAAAGGCATATCTTAGTAATGTATTACTGATATTGACGATTTTAGAACAGTTCGTCCCAACCTCGTTATTCTTGAAAAAATCTTTACTAGTATCCTTGTAAGTTTCCTGACGTATATGCGCCATTGAGGATGAGCTCCAGAGATAGCAGACTAGTAGCGTATTTGTTTGTTGGGGCAGGAGAGGCTATATGCAACCACTTGTACAGATAAACAAGCTTATGTTGTCAACACTACCAGAAAGAGTTCCCATCGTCGGATGGGGTATATGAAGGTTCCAAGAATGAACTATTGACATGTCTGACTCTGAACAGTTAGTAAACGGACTTAACAATGATTTATAGACATCGATCGCTTGTTCTTGATATTTGAAACTGCATGCATATATACGTTTATGAGAGTGATTATTTATCTTGTGTCTGACGAAAACTAAATACCTGCATGGTTATATCTTGCCATACGTTTGTATTGGTTTGGTGGGTGTTCACTTAAAATCGTAATTCAAAAATTGTGTTTGTGAGATCAGAGACATATATACACATGTGTATATATGTCTCTGGTGAGATGTAGATTCACTTCAATACCGATTTTCGTCTATATATTTCACAAGTGTATACCACGGAAAAGATCTGAAGGTATATTACTCCCATTTTGTTTGGGTGTGAACCATCGATGTTTACAGCAATATTTAATGAATAAGATGATGATCGTAGAAAGAACTATGAGCGTCATGTGGCAAATATTACATGCATGTCGGACCATGAGTTGTCAATCTGTATGAAAAGATTTCCAATACAACCATATTGAGTAGGAATTTTTACATGCTATACTCTCGTACTAGTATTACAGGGTTCTTGTGTCGTTTAACTCGGACACACATCTTTTACTTTAAGATGTATGAAAGGTTCTAAATATATATATATATATCTTAAATGTAACAATAATCAAACGCCTATAGGCAATCACTAAAATGGTATGAAGTTTTTATACAGATTTATTCCTATTTACACAATCATTAACAAACTAAATAAATTTAACAAAGTAACACCGTGACACTACGATATAACAAATGGAATACTAATTATTTTTAACCATGCTATGCAGAAACTTTATACATCAAGCAGGAACATATATATTAATATACTGCTCCCAGCATCAAGTTAGTGCACGTGAATACCAATTAGGTACACGATGTGTGATTTTGTATAACTAAAAATATCAAAGCGAGCAATAACTTTGTCAAGCAAACATTTTTTTTCACTATGCCTCTCTTTATCTCCGCTCCTTTACAATAACTATTTCACTTTTCGTCGATCATTCTCTATATTGTTCTCTATTCTGTTTTTTTTTTTCACTATGCCACTCTATCTCCGCTCCTTTTTCCCATGTCGTCCTAATCCTTATAAAGATAGAGACATTAGACATAGAAGGGGCTCTCTTATCTTCAATGAATTAATATTGATAGTGACTATAAGTGCTGCATTACTTTATATATCTGCATGTTTGCCAATCGACAAAAGCGTGTATTTTCGTGAAGAATTTTTTTTCTTCAAAAATATGGTCCAGAATCATGACAAAACAATATTCATTTCAAATGTTCAAAGGTCATGTTTATGATTTTTTTTTAAAACTTATTATCAGCAAAAATAGTGGATAATATTATTATCAGAACATCATTCATTAAAAGGTGGAATTATAATTTCAAACACACACAAGATAAACAACGTTAGACACAAATATATGGTTCAATAAATGTTACCTGTGCACACCGGGTACCTCAATAAAGAGGCCATGCATGAACCTGTATTATATAATTGTGTAATACGAATTTTTAGTTGACAGGATGTCACTGGAATACCCAGGGACGTGTATCTAATATACGTCCTTGGAAAAGCTAACTGAATGTGTCGCTCTGACACGACATCTATCAATAATTCTGACATACCTATTATCAATTCGGGAGGAAGCCAAAATATATATATAATAAGATAACGTAAATATAATATAAAAAGAAAAAAAACTATAAATTTTTCACCGAACATACCAGATAGAGTCACACATTTAACTGTAAAGCTAAGTGTCTTTATAAGTGACCGTTCCGAATAGATCCCGTATCAATTTGATATAATTTAAAGATTAGTTAAAAAAAAAACCCACTTTTAATAAAAAAAATTGAGATGTCCGATATTTCGATATTTACATATCTATAACCTGGGAATATTTTACTATATCAACATATTATGTCCCAGCTAAAAACTCTTCCTAACATTGCTCCTTGTCAATAGCCGTTAAATATCATAATTAAAAAAATGTTATTTTATATCGTATAACTTTATTAATTGAAAAATTATCTTGTCTAAATACGGAACTATTCTTTATACAAATCAATGCACTTTATATAAAAGAGGCATACTAATGACTCTTCTGTAAATCAGTGATTGTTACAAGAACACTGCATTTGTCTTTCTTATAATTGAAACTGTTCTTCCTCATCAAATCTATATTTTTTTTTGTTATTAAAAAAGGATAATTACCATCGAATCTCCCTCGAAACAATATTGTTCAAAATGGTCTTCACACACCAACTTGTGCTTGCTATAGATGCAACTATTTGCTGTTAGTTTAAGGTTGTACAACCATGTCTGATACAATTCTTTCATTTTTTGTGTGATTGGGAAAACTATGTAGACTTTTGTCATAACCTTGTCTGACAGAACAACCGTACGCTTGACAAGACATTTGACACTGAATAACCGTCTACGGTAATCCCATATTGATGATGGGAGTTTTTAACGCACGGTCGGTAAATCCCCGATTCTTTTTGTTCTTTGTGGTTTATAGATATCACGTGACTTTTTAGATCGAACATGCCGACAAGATGGCGATATGTCGAGAACTGATAGTGAATTTCAAAAATCGATTTTGATCTCTTTACATAGAGAATAAAAGTTTTTTATTTATGAACATGTGGTTTTTTATGCTTAAAGAACAAAATATCAATTTTTCATTTTTTTGCGGAGTTTCCCTTTAAATAATCAAATATAGAAACATACCTGAAACCATCTGTACCCCTCGATCCAATGAAGATGGAGATAAGAGATGAGGAAAGAAGCTACAACATGTCTCATATAGTTGTTCATCCATCCAGTCAACCATAACTGTCTCATAGCAGCATCCACTAGAGGGAATCCTGTGTTCCCTCTCTGCCATGCTTTCAAGTGTGCTTTGTTCTTGCTCCACCTCTGATGCTAATAAAACAATAAAATTGATCATGTTTTAGTTAGAAATTGGAAGTATAACTGCATGAGAGTCTGGATGGGGTTTACAGAATAATGTGCCAAATCTACAGAAAAATGGGGGAAAAAAAAAAAACACAGAAAAATAGGGAAAAAAAAAAAAAAAAAAAAATTGAGAACAATGGGGTGCTAAAATATGAAGTACTGAGAATAATAGGCAAAAAATATAAATAATAGTGATAAAATGCTTCGCTGGGGCGCAGCTTGATACGACCGCAGAGGTCGAACCCTGAACAGTTGGGGCAAGTATGGACACAACATTCAAGCTTGATACAGCTCTGAATTTGGATTGTTATTAAATATTTGACACAGCATAGGTTTCTGACACAGAAAGAATGTGGTCTAAGAACTTGAATTTTTTTAATTTACCTATTATGGTCCAATGTCCAAAATCAAAATACATGGTTAGATTCAGCATATCAAAGAACCCCATATATTCAATTTTTGTTAAAATCAAACAAAGTTTAATTTTGGACCCCAACTTGGACAAACTTGAAAACTGGGCCCATAATCAAAAATCTAAACACATGTTTAGATTCAGCATATCAAAGAACCCCAAGAATTCAATTTTTGCTAAAATCAAACTAAGTTTAATTTTGGACCCTTTGGACCTTAATGTAGACCAATTTAAAAAAACGGGACTTAAAATTAAAAATCTAAATACACGGTTAGATTTGGAATATCAAAGAACCCCAATAATTCAATTTTTGATGAAATCAAACAAAGTTTAATTTTGGACCCTTTTGACCTTAATATGAACAAATTTGATAGGGGGGCCCACAAATAAAAATTCTAAATGCATGGTTAGATTCAGCATATCAAAGAACCCCATATATTCAATTTTTGTTGAAATCAAAAAAAGTTTAATTTTGGACCCCAACTTGGACCAACTTGAAAACTGGGCCCATAATCAAAAATCTAAACACATGTTTAGATTCAGCATATCAAAGAACCCCAATAATTCAATTTTTGATGAAATCAAACTAAGTTTAATTTTGGACCCTTTGGACCTCAATGAAGACCAATTTAAAAAACGGGACCCAAATTAAAAATCTAAAAACACGGTTAGATTTGGCATATCAAAGAACCCCAATAATTCAATTTTCGATGAAATCAAACAAAGTTTAATTTTGGACCCTTTTGACCTCAATATGAACCAATTTGATAGCGGGGCCTACAAATAAAAAATCTAAATACATGGTTAGATTCAGCATATCAAAGAACCTCATATATTCAATTTTTGTTGAAATCAAACAAAGTTTAATTTTGGACCCCAATTTGGACCAACTTGAAAACTGGGCCCATAATCAAAAATCAAAATACATGTTTAGATTCAGCATATCAAAGAACCCCATATATTTAATTTTTGTTGAAATCAAACAAAGTTTAAATACTGGACCCTATCTTGGACCAACTTGAAAACTGGGCCCATAATCAAAAATCTAAACACATGTTTAGATTCAGCATATCAAAGAACCCCAAGAATTCAATTTTTGTTAAAATCAAACTAAGTTTAATTTTGGACCCTTTGGACCTCAATGTAGACCAATTTAAAAAACAGGACCCAAAATTAAAAACCTAAATACACGGTTAGATTTGGAATATCAAAGAACCCCAATAATTCAATTTTAGATGAAATCAAACAAAGTTTAATTTTGGACCCTTTTGACCTCAATATGAACCAATTAGATAACGGGGTCCACAAATAAAAAATCTAAATACATGGATAAATCTACAGAAAAATGGGGGAAAAAAAAAAAACACAGAAAAATAGGGAAAAAAAAAAAAAAAAAAAAAAAATTGAGAACAATGGGGTGCTGAAATATGAAGTACTGAGAATAATAGGCAAAAAATATAAATAATAGTGATAAAATGCTTCGCTGGGGCGCAGCTTGATACGACCGCAGAGGTCGAACCCTGAACAGTTGGGGCAAGTATGGACACAACATTCAAGCTTGATACAGCTCTGAATTTGGATTGTTATTAAATATTTGACACAGCATAGGTTTCTGACACAGAAAGAATGTGGTCTAAGAACTTGAATTTTTTTAATTTACCTATTATGGTCCAATGTCCAAAATCAAAATACATGGTTAGATTCAGCATATCAAAGAACCCCATATATTCAATTTTTGTTGAAATCAAACAAAGTTTAATTTTGGACCCCAATTTGGACCAACTTGAAAACTGGGCCAAAAATCAAAAATCTAAATACATGTTTAGATTCAGCATATCAAAGAACCTCATATATTCAATTTTTGCTAAAATCAAACAAAGTTTAATTTTGGACCCTTTGGACATTAATGTAGACCAATTTGAAAACTGGACCCAAAATTAAAAATCTAAATACACTGTTAGATTCGGCATAACAAATAAATAAATGTGATCAAAGATTTTACAAATCTAATGCGCCATACTGTGCAATTAAAGATTACTTCTTGAAATTTTTCAATATTTGAAATTTGAAAAAAAAATAATATTTGAAGAATAATTTTTTTTAATTTCTGAAATCTGAAATGAGAAAAAATTGGCCCCCCACAATTTTTTTTATTCCCCCCCCCCTTTTTCCCCCAAAAAAATTCTTTCCCTCAAGATATGGTCATAATCTCAATTCAAATTTCCAATGGAGTTGGCAACCATAATTACCCATTTAAATTTACCATAGTGCTAACTTAATCTATTTTATAATAGAATTAATAAAAATATAGTGTCAAATCTTTCATATGGATTTTTTTGTAAAAAAAAAAGATGAAAACATTTGCAGATATTTTTACTGGTCTTCCTTTATAAATATGCATTTCTTTAAACATAATTTAAAAGCAGTGTAAGGGAAGTAACCAAAACGTTGTATTTGGATTACCTCCCTTACACTGTTTTAGATTATCTTTATTGTTCATTAACCATTACTTTATACATAATTTAAAAGCAGTGTAAGGGAGATAATTTCAATGATGTATTTGATTTATCTCCCTTACACTGCTTTAAATTATGTTTTGTACTAAAGTATTTGTCCATTAACCAGGACAACCTTGTTTTTCCCCCTTTTTTGCCCCTAATTCCTAAACGGTTTGAGCCATAACCCCCCAAAGCAAATCCTAACCATCCCTTTGTGGTATGGAAACTTGTAGTATAATTTCAGAGAGATCCATACACCGTTCCACAGTTATTGTCTGGAAACTAGAAAATGCTCATTTTTGGCCCCTTTTTGGCCCCTAATTCCTTAACTGTTGGTACCATAACCCCCAAAATCAATCCCAACCTTCCTTTTGTGGTATTTCACCTTATGGTCAAATTTCAAAAAGATCCATTCACTTAAACTAAAGTTAGAGTGCGAAAACCAATATGTATTCGGACGACGACGACGACGACGACGCCAACGTCATACCAATATACGACCACAAAATTTTTTTGCGGTCGTATAAAAATTACTTAAAAAAATTAAAGGATACAAAATGAAGGACCCCCAATCAACACCTTTCTACATGCATTACATAATGAAATGTTCAATTGGTACAATGATAAATTGTATTTGTTAGAAAAATATAATGCATTTCGAGTGTGCCTACCTACCAGACTTTACCTATTTCAGTAAATGAAGAGTTCATGTAGCTGTGTATTTGATTGTGTGTTAAACAAATTTAACTAAGGTTTTTTTTTGATGATCAGATCTGATTTTTATCATGCATATTTCTTTTTCTATTCAACTGATTTGGATAAACCATGAGGGCTGATCAATCATACAACATATTTTAACTTGGACAAACATGTCTGTACCAAGTTAAGCTTTCTGATGTCCTTTAAATTGCTGTAGAAAAGTAAGCCATCAATAATTACCCTATACTGAGGTCTTGTAGGTTGGCTAGGTAGATCAGGCCACAAAGACAACAACCAGTATGATAGATCTCTCCATGCCAGCTTCCTTAGGAACTTTGGTGATTTCATGTGTTTGGCCTCTGTAAGTATGGCCCTTGGACTGATTTGTCCAAAATGTAGATATGGAGATATACGACAAGTGTTTACATGATCAGCTCGACAAGATTCTTTTTCATACTTTTTAATACCTGTGAAATAAAAAATTATATAGAGATATATGTATGAGTTTGACCTACTTCTGAATGTTTTAGAATAACATGTCCTTAATAATATAAAACAACAAGTCCAACAGCAGAATTATCTGGAATCAGATTACTGAAACTTTAAAAATGTATGAGGGTCTAGATGGGGTTTACATAATATTAGAGAATAATGGACCAAGATTAGAGAAAAATGGATAAAAAAATTAAGAATACAGAAAAATAGGCCAAAACAATAAAAAAATAAATAGATGCTGAAATCATATAAGGAATAGAGAAAAATGGGCAAAAATATAAGGAATATTGAAAAATGACACGAAAAAATAAAAGAACTCATGTATGTACAGTCTGACTATTTCAAGGTTATTCTCCCTAAGGTATACCATAGCTTGTTTTGATGTTATATTTTCATGATTTTGTTTATTGCAATTTACAAATGTAAAAACTTTCACATTTCAAATATTTTAAAGTTTCCATAACTGCTGATGGTTTTTTATGTTCAACGTTAAATTAGCAAAAATAAACCCCTCCGGGAAATTTCCTGTTCACTTCATCATTTTTTTTATTGATACTGATAATAATTAAATTTGAAGACAGAAAGCTTTTAGACAATGAATCAAAGTAATTTCAAATCTATACACTAAGACTGTAAATGGTATTATTTCTTATTTCATGTAAACAGAATAGCTTGTTTGTTTTATTTCTAAGTCATGTTCAATCCTGTTTCAATTCAAAAATGTATATTTAATCATATATTCAGTTTTCTTAACATACATGCATCATACTTTGTGTATTATTATTTTTATTTAATATAATGTACATGTTTTTTTTTGTACATAAATTAGGCCGTTAGTTTTCTTGTTTGAATTGTTTTACATTGTCATTTCGGGGCCTTTTATAGCTGACTGTGCGGTATGGGCTTTGCTCATTGTTGAAGGCTGTACGGTGACCTATAGTTGTTAATTTCTGTGTCATTTGGTCTCTTGTGGAGAGTTGTCTCATTGGCAATCATACCATATCTTCTTTTTTAAATGTATATGCAATCTGATTGGAAAGAAAATACATTGTAGACTGAATAAGAATTTAAACTCTCCAACCAATGCAAAAAAAATGTATTTAGTTTTATAATTTGACATGGTAATTATATTGTACATGTTGTTATATTGACAGAACAAATATATTGATGTGTAAATTAAATATGCAAGACATTCAGTGCATCACATGTTAACAATTAATTAATTCAAATTTGTTGAGGTAACATTTGTCTTTGTATATATTTTAAATTAAATCAATTCAATTATTTTACAGTGTTAAAATATTTGCTTGAACCACTTACAACTACACTGAAATCTGATTTCATTTAGTAAAAAAAAATATTCATCCGAACCTAATTCTAACGAATACATGATGAAAAGTTAAGTTACTGTGGATGGATCTGATAAACTTTTAGCATGCAGTATTTATTGTACTCCTTAGCTTCAAATAATAAGCTATATAATGAGATTTTACTGGACCTAGTCAGATGAAAATGGTGTGAAAGCCAAAAATTGATTCATAAGTGTGGAAGAGTGACCACTGCAGGTTAAAACTGACTTTTGTTTTGGCTATGTGCTTTTATTAACAATACTGACTTGGACATTTTGTTAGATAGCAAAAGTATTGATGATATGTGGAGGTGTTTTTCTATACTAATGTTTGAAAATATGGACAATTAATTGGGAGTGTCCATGGGACACAGATGATGCCCCTGCTTGCATATAACATTATAAAGGGACATAACTCAAGAACGGTAGAAGTGACAATACCCAAATTCATACTCGATCTGAGTTTTGTTGTAATAAGCATTGTCTATAAGTTTCATAACATTTGATTCAGGCAAATTTAAGTTAGAGAACAGAAACGAAAAATTCAGCAATTTTTCCATTTGTAAAGGGGCATAACTCTAGAACAGTAAAAGTGATGCTACCAAAATTCAAACTTGATCTGTGTTTTGTGGTAATAAGCATTGTGTATAAGATTCATAACATTTGGTTGAGGCAAACAAACTAAAGTTAGAGAATGGAAACAAAAAATTCAGCAGTTTTTCCAGTTTGGCAAAATAGACGTTTGGACATATGTTTAATCCAATCTGTCCACTAACCATGCTAAGGCTATAAGCCATTTGAGTTATGAGTGTAGAATACATTAATTAGGATTATTAACATTGGAATCAAAATGTCAGATTCAAGTTTACAAAGCTTAACATTGTATGGATGACACTTAAAAAGGAATAAGTCATCACCAGAAATAGTGGACAGTGCTTCTATCAGACCAAATCAATCATCAACACTGGACTCCTCCAAAAATAGTGAATTAGTGAAATAATCTGTTGGATTCAAATGAAGGCAGTGTCTTTGAATGCTTTTAAGTTAGCATTAAATAGTTTTAAAATATGTATAATTGTGCACACCTATATTATTAATTTATATCAGTTTTGTTTAGTACAGTGCATTAACATTAGTATTCATCACTTGCACAATTTTCCACGATATATTCATATTAACTACATTTTAAAACAAATATTATAGGTTCACTTCTGGTCAAATTTTAATCATCTGTTTAACTTAACAAGTAGAACTGTCAAATGTTTATTTGTTGAAGCAGTTCACTCTTGGTCAAAGTTTAATCATCTTTATAACTAGAATAAAACTGCTTCGCTGAGCGCAGCTGGATACGCCCGCAGAGGTCCAACCCTGAACAGTTGGGGCAAAAATGGACACAATATTCAAGCTTGATACAGGTCTGAATTTGGATTGTAAATAAATATTTGACATATTATAGGTTTCTGAATAAATGTAGTCAAAGAACTTGAAATTGGTTATATGAATTGAATTTATATTCAATTAAAGATTTCATGCTATTGTGAGTGCAATACACTATGCTGTTGCGCAATACTTAAATCTGTTGTCAGACTATAAACAAATAAAATTTATAAAATTCTAAAGGCAGCTTACATCAATAGATATAACCAATTCACCAAAGTTTCATAAGAATTGCTGAAAGCATTTTTGAGTTATTGTCCAAAAACTGGAAAAATCCCCCCTTTTTTAATGAATAAAATCCCATAACTCAGAAATGTAAAATCTTAAATTTATAAAATTCTAAAGGGAGCTTACATCAATAGATAACAACAATTCATCAAAGTTTCATGAGAACTGCTGAAAGCATATTTGAGTTATTGTCCAAAACTGGAAAATCCCCCCTTTTTTAATGAATAAAACCCCATAACTCGGAAATGTAAAATGTAAAATTTATGAAATTCTAAAGGGAGCTTACATCAATAGATATCAACAATTCATCAAAGTTTCATGAGAACTGCTGAAAGCATTTTTGAGTTATTGTCCGAAAACTGGAAAATCCCCCTTTTTTTTATGAATAAAACCCCGTAACTTGGAAACGTAAAATCTAAAATTTATAAAAATCAAAAGGGAGCTCATGTCAATAGATATAAACAATTAACCAAAATTTCTTGCAAGTTGGTGAAAGCATTCTTGAGTTATTGTCCGAAAACTGGAAAATCCCCCTTTTTTTAATGAATAAAACCCCATAACTGGGAAACATAAAATCTAAAATTTATAAAAAACGAAAGGGAGCTCACGTCGATAGATATAAACAATTCACCAAAGTTTTATGCAAATTGGTTAAAGCGTTTTTGAGTTAATGTCCGACATGTTGACGACGGACGGACAGACGGACGGACAGACGGACGGACAGACAACGGTATACCATAATACGTCCCGTAAACGGGCGTATAAAAATAAGGAGATGCGGTATAATTGCCAATAAGACCTCTATCCACCACAGTTCAAATGATGTGGATGTACTGGTAAGCAATAATAGGAAACCCTATAGCCTTCAACAATGAGAAAAATATATACTGTATGTACGGCTATAATAAAAGGCCCTGATATGAAAAATGTGAAACAATTCGATTGAGAAAATTAATTTGTTCCTCTAAATGCAGAGCTGTCACATGGGTATTTGTTTTTTTTAAGTGTGTTGATATATATGAAATATGGTGCAACTAGAGTGGACACACTGAAATGTCTCGCCTGTTTTACTGTTCATAATTGAATTTATGTTGAAAGTAAAAAAAATAAGTTTATATAAGCTTTACATTAAATTAACATTTTAATGATGAATGAACATGAAGTCAAGGTGAGATAAACCCTATCAGACAAACATGTAGGCCGTACAATCATTCCATACACCAAATTTATTTAACATATATTGCCTAAAGTATCTTAGAAACAAACCTCATTGAGGAAACTGAACTTTTTTAGTTACCTTGACCTTAGGCTTAAATATAGGTCTGTAATGCTTTTACATTCATGTTGAGTAACATGTTTTTAGAAAAAACAGCATCATAAAATCACATGGGATACACTTTTGGCTAATAAATCACAGGCAAATATAGCAACAACATTTGAGTAAATAAAATCGCATTATACAAAATTTTTTTTTTGAAACATTAAGTCAAATGACTACTAAAAGCAAACTTTAAAATTTCTTATGAAATAATTTTTCATCTAGATTTAAGGTTCATCAGAAGGGATTGACAAATATGGCCATTTTTTTTTATTTCCTCTTGAGTACAGACAAACCTGTGCACAAGGAAAAGTTTTAAGGCATTGCAGAAACTGGATAAATATTTGTCAATTCCTTGAGATGAACCTGAAAGACCCCCCCACCCCCCCCCCAAAAAAAAAAAAAAAAACTATAATTTTCTTCAATCTTTGATCAAAATATTGTAAAAAGTCATATTTTCATATTATCTATTTATCTATTTATGTTGCTATGCAAAAATATTTTTTACTTATCTCAATACTTATCTTATTTCATATGTATCAAAAATCAGTAAATGTGATTCTGTTGTGCAAACAAAATTTCAAAAGTTCTTCAATCTGTACATATTCAGCCAATTAATCTTTATGAAGGGACTGGAGTGA